CCGACAAAGGGAAGAAAAAGGAAAAAAAAGATAGAAAAAATAAAAAAAATTAGGAAATTGTTAGCAAGGCATTTTGTCCCCATAAGCGGGGAGCAGAGATCGCAGCCAGGCCGAGCATCAGGCGGGCTCTGCGGGCTGCCACCTCCGTCCTCTGGGCTCGGGGAGGAAGAGGAGGAGCCGGGGCTTGCGGCAGGTGCTGGGCTTGAATTCACAAGCGCAGTGACCCTCCCTAGGAGCATGGCAGGAATTTCAAATGGGATTAGCCACCCGGACAAGGGAAAGGTCATACTTGACATTTCCACTGGAAATTCTAATGCAAATAGACCTCTGATACTCATGACATTTTTTCACACACGGTCTAACAGCCATACATATGTAAAAGGAAAATGATAAAATGTGATGACTAATTTATGTAAATCTCATAAAGGCAATAAGACCGAGGCCTGAGCACATAGAAACATTAGTCAGGCGAAGGAGCACATGATTGTATTCCCCTTTTATTTGCTACCATTTTAAATTGGTTTATTTTGATAGGGTTATTATTTGTTTAGCTTTCAAAAAGTCTTCAGCGCCTGTGAATGGAGTACAGGACATAGAGCCCTTGCTCACAGTGATCCCTCGGCCTTATTTGGAATGGTTTTGGTTATTGCCATGAGGATGGGAGCTGAGCAAGGCAGAGAGGCTCTCTAGGAAGCCAGGGATTTTTACAGCCTAACTCAGGATTGAATATTTACACACTGAGAAATCCTGGCTGAAAAACCAATTTTTGGAATTAGATCCCAGTGCAATTCAAGTAGGATACTTACAACATAAAGATTGCATGGAAAACAGTTCTACAGAGAAGCTTTTCTCACCTCAAGGAGCCTTAACAACAGCATTGCAACATATTCTCACACTTACAGCTGTTTCCACCGTATATCTTGATAAGCAAATTTCCTTATCTGTTGTGTTCTGAGGTCACCAAATTAGACAAAAATAGAGTGCTTTGGTTAATCTACTCAAAGAAGAAAATTAAAGCTATCAGGCTGAACGACAGCAGAGTGGCTGGAAACGTTGGTTGTCGAGCTTTTGTTGTTTTACACACTCAGCAAACCTGTGGTCAGCAGAGCTCTGAGGTATCTGCAGGTCCCCCAGTACAGGCAGGAAAATAAGTCAAAGCTAAATATAAACTAAGTAGAGAAGACCCAATTCTCTCAGCATCTTATTCAAAGTTTTGCTTTCAACACAACCAGGAGTGGTTTTTACCCCACTTCCCATCGTCGCCCATTTTATTTCAGTATGCCTGTTTCTGCATTCTGTATTATTCCAAAGGACAGCGCCTCATTTTCTTCATCTGGGGGGTTGAGGAAAACATTTATTAAACTCCTCAAAGCTTGTTTATTTTTCTTAAGCCTAATTACCTGCCCGCAATGACTTAATTTTGTTTATTACGGGTTTTAAAATGACAAGTTCATCTGCCACCGGAAAGCAGCGCTGCTTTAGCGACAATGAAAGGCCGCAGTCCTGCAAGCACTTATGCATATGCTTCACGTTTTGCATGTAAATAGTCCCATTGACTAAATCCCCGTTCTTTGAAAGGGAAGAAAAGGCTGAAAGGCAATCATTGTTTTCCCAGGCAAACAGCGCTGGAGAAGAAAGGAACAAGTTAGGAATATAGAAAATTAACTCATTTCCCATCGCCCACCACATGCACGCATATCCTGAAACTCCTGAATTTACTTCAAGTATCTGAAGTCTCTTCTGTATGCAGCCCAGTTTTTCGGTATCTTAATGCTTTGTTAGTTTTCCAAGGCAATTTCCTTAGGCAAATCTAACACAAGAAAACTTTTAAAAGATAATTCAAGAGAAAACATTATGAGCAAGCAAAGACCACCTCTGATATTCAACCTCCTCTCTAAGTATAAAAAAAAAAGGGGAGGAATTCAAACAGTCTAGGAAGGAAAAATGTATTCAGGCACTGTAGAAATTGAATAATTAAATGCACTCTTCCCCTGAGCTTCCCAGTTAGCTCCATCCCCCTTTCATCCGAGGTGGATAATAGCAGGTGTATTGCTTCAAGTTAAAGTCACCCTAGGCTAGACATGGCAGGACTGATCATAGAATCACAGAATGGCTTGGTTCGGAAAGAATCATGTAATTTCAACCCTCTGCCATGGGCAGGGACACCTTCCACTATCTCAGGTTGCTCAGAGCCCCATCCAACCCTGCCTTGGACACTTCCAGGGCTGGGGCATCCACAGCTTCTCTGGGCATCCACAGCTTCTCTGGGCATCCTGTTCCAGGGCCTCGCCACCCTCACCGGGGGGAATTTCTTCCTTGTGTCCAATCTAAACCCACCCTCTTTCAGCTTGCAACCATTCCCCCTTGTCCTGTCATGTGCTGGGAACGGTCTCAGACCTGGTACCATCTTGGAGGATAAAAAAATCTCCTGGGTTCCCTCTCTGACCAAGGAAGAGGAGCAACTCACAGCCCTGACCTGAAGCCCCCCCACACAAAAAAAGAACGGAAAAGATCAAGCATTTGGGTTTTTTTCCTGTCTGTGCCCTACAGCAGTGCTGAGGTGCATTTGAGACCCTGATGCTGGGGCACAGCCTGAGAGCCCCGTGCTGCAGCCCAGCACAGCGTCCCACCAGGGGCAGTCTGCGGGCAAAGAGGGGTGGGAATCTGAAATCAGCATTTCTGAGGGACTGTGGGCAGCTCATTAACAGCAGCACTGACATCAGCAAGTGGAAATAGTCCCATTACAAACACACACACACAGAGACACTTGAGTTCCTACGCCAAAAACCAGATCTGCTGCTTTGCCTCAGACCGGCTCATGTTTTTTCCACTTGATAAAGAGTCATGAGTTACTCTGAAGTTTCTTCTGTCACAGACTTCTTTCAAACCTGACTGAGTAGCTATCATACCACCATCACTGAACCTACATGAGAGACTGGGCAAGTGGAAAGAATTAAAATAAATTTGCTAATATAAATTTTCCTATAGCTGTTCTTCATCAATTCTCATTAAAAAGGAAAAAAAAGTATCCTTTCCTGCACAAATTAAAACTATATAAAAACAAATTAGGCTGGAACTACTGCTTTGAGGTTCTTTCCAACCTAAAATATTCTAAGATGTAAATTCCTTATCACAGCAATAACTTTGGCACAGGGAAGAAGACAGAGCAGCAGTCATTGCTGTGTTTACAACCAACAGATATGGGGACAGATATGGGTTCAATTAACACAGCCTGTGTTAATTGAAGAGTTCTTGTAGCCTGGAGAGCTACAGCTGATACAACCTGTGCCTCTCAGGTGCCCTCAAGCAACCACCTGACAAATGCTCCAAGCAGTGCATCTGAATCTATACAAATATTTCAGTGTTTCTTGCTGCCCAAAGATAACACTTCTTCAGTGGCTAAAATAGGGGCACGAGGGAAAAAAAAAACCATGGAATTCATTAGGAATCATAAGCTAACTCTTCCTCACAGAGAAGTCCTGTGACATCTAACAGTGGTGAAATCAACAGGCTTGTGGAACAGATTGCTGTGAGAGCCAGGAGCAGCCAGGTGAAGGTACCTGCTGTGGTGCTGGCCACTAGGCTGGACACCATTCCTCACTGGGCCCGGGATTCCAGCAGCTGGAGCCCAGGCAGGCAGGGAACAGAGCTCCCCAGCTGCCTTCCTGACACAGAACGTGTCCCATTCACACCACAGACATTCCTGGGATTTGCCAGATGAAGGGCTGGCCTTGACAGAATTAAAAGCTGCTGATGAATCTGTGAGGCCAAGAGAGCTGATGTATATTTTTTTTTAAAGGTTACTATTCAAGGAAGCAGTGTAGTGCACAGCAGTAACAAAAGGATTGTGGCAACCAGCAAATTATTCCCTGGAGAAACTTCCTCCAAAATTGGGTAGTGACAGAATCCAATCAGGGTAAAAAAAAAAAAAAAACAAAAAAACAAAAAAACCCAGACAAAAAACCCACCAGACCCAAACACAAAGAATAAAATTCATGCAGAACAAGGATCTTTCTCCTTTCCTGGACTGGAAACCAGATGTACTTACTTTTTAAAGATTTATTATTTTTTTTATTTTGCCAGACTGCCTAAGACTAAGCTGTCTTGAACACTGAAAACCTGACTCAAAAAATACCCCAAAAAACAGCTTTCTTGATTTTAGCTTACAGATTATTGAATAACCCACAGGCCACCAGCTTCTGTCCTGCTATTTCTAAGTCAGTCCAGATCAAGCTGGATGGGGAAGGGAAAGGCAGGTTTGGGCTTTGTTTGATTTGGTTTTAGGCTAAAGCTCAAGGCCCGTTTATTTAGGAAAGAGACTGCCACCCCCCAATGCAATGCATTTTATGTTCAATAGAAAATAATAATAGAAAATAATATAAGAGCATATTATTCCTATGCCAAGTATAATGCACACTCAGTTCTAGGTTTCGGTGTTAAAATTTCTCAAGAGAGAATTTTCTTCTTCTGTTTTACTACATTTTACAGAATTTCCTTTACTTTCCATAAATACCAACTTTTTTTGTCTACAGGTAACCAAGATTCCCCTTTCTAAAGGGGACTCTTAGTTACCTGTAGACAAAACCTGAAACTTAGTTACCTGCAGAGCTGCTTTTTGGAAAAGGATCAGTTCTTTCCTCCAGGGCCTGAGAGCCTCTGCCTGAAATAACTCCTCCATCCAGCCCATGAGTAAAACACTGAGCTCAACGCCAGCTGGAAGTTTTGAGGGCAGGTTTCAGCTCACCTGCCTGAGCAGCCAGGCACAAAAACCCCGTAGGAGAGGGACAAGGAGCAGTTTTGCCCCTTTGCCTCCGCCGGGGATCCAAGGGCTTGGAAAGGAGCGCACGGCGGTTCGCATCAGTGCGCGAGCTGAATATAAAACCCAAAGCAAAACACGATTTGTTTTTCAGTTTATTAAAGGAAATGTTTTCATATAATTAATCATGGTCCGCGAGGCCGCTTTATCCAACGCCGTCCCTCCCTACCCCCGCCATCCCACATGGAGCCTTAGCCGGACTAAAATTTTGCAAAGCCTTGCATTGTTCTCCCTGACACCGGATCAGCGGACACAAAAAAGCAACTGCCAGCTCAAAAGCAATCCGGCGATAGAGCCTGGTGCTATCTAATCAAGGGCAAAAGGTCACTTCCGAACAACTGGGCAATAAAAGATTATTTCCAGCCGCAGAACAGAAAGGCCCAGTGGTGGATGCTTGAAAGAGGGGGGTGGAAGGAGGGCAAAAGGGCTCCCGTCTGTGGGAGGAAGTGCATTGAATAAAGCCAGCAGACGGGAACCATCTGGCTTTGTGCGTGGTCTGTTCTTCAGAGGAGAGAGAAAGCCCCCTCAGCGGGGCCAGTGACTCCATGCAATGATTCAAACTTTTCTTCTCTTTTTTTTTCCCCCCTCTTTCTCTCCCCCATCAATTTTAAAGCAGCTTTCCCAGGCACCAAAAAATTGGAAACGGAAACTTTCCTAACGGGTGGATGGACGTGTCTTATCAAGGGCGAGCTGCAAGATGGAGCCCATGTTTTAATTTGGCCATGAGAGATGGCTCTTATCAGGGAGTGAGGACTGTGGATGACCAGACAGGGCTTTTTTGGTTTGTTTTGTTTGTTTTTAAGGATGGCTTAAAGAAGAAGCCTCCCAGGGACCCAGCAAACTCAAATTCCCAACCCATCCAGTACGCTGGGTTTTGGTGGCATTTTTGAGCAACAAATGACATTTCCAGCAGCATCACCTTTATTATGTATACTTCATGCATTTCCCCCTTTCCTCTCTCTCCCCACTTGTTATATGGCCTCACTTGAATGAAAGCAAGAAAATAAAAGGGCCAGATTACATTCAGTCCAGTTGCCATGGCCTGTGGGAGGGCAGAATTGCAAACACTTCAGTACAAATGGTACAATCCCTCCTCCCTCCCCTCGGCCCTGCAGTTGTCCTCCATGTCCTCACTTTCCCTCGCTCCGCGGTTCGCACCGGAGGCCTTTGGCACTCGGCGGCGAGGAGCTGAATCTATTCAAGCGCCCAGACACCTCCTCCGTTCAGCAGTGAATTAACTTTAAGCATGCAAATCACACTAATCCAGAATTCACAGGAGAGGAAGTCAGGAGGGTTCCCAGTGGTCTGGGAAATATTTTTCCTTTCGGGAAGGGAAGGGGAGGGGGGGTCATTGCACTCTTGTTTAGAGCTCGCTGCAGGTCACTCTGGCTCATCTCAAAGAAAGTTTAGTTCAGAGGCTCAGCTTGACATTCATTGGTTTCTAAATCGGAACCTCTTGAGCGATTGTCCCAGCAATCCCAGGGATTGGGGCCTGAGCAAATAGCCCCCGATTAATTCTGCTGTAGTAGGGGGGAAACGAAGCAGTTAAATGTCCAGTTTATCAACAGAAAACAACAACTGAGCCTTTGTCCTAACAGGGTGCAGGAGGAAACCGTTTTGCAAGGGCTCATCTGCATGAGAAACCCGGGCAGCTGGGAAACACCGACAAACGGCCTGGGGGGAGATCCACGCACACACTGGAGGAGAAAAATATTCCATACATCGGCCTTCTGTACTGCCACCTTCAAAAAGGAAGCACAACTCGAGAATTCTGAGTAAGTCAGACACAGCTTGACAATTGAGGGGCTTTGTTTTAAATGGGGGGAAAGAAAACCAACAGCAAAAAAAAAACCAAAAAAACCACAAAGCAAAAGTTTAAATTGAGAACCTACACAGCAGGTCCTCTGCCACAGCCTATTTGTTAGAGAATGAAAAAAAAACCACTACCAACAGCAAGGTGACCAAATGGCCGAGGCAACAGCTCTGGTATTTATTCTCTACAGCTCTGCAAGCTGAGGCAGTGCAAAGATACCAGTGTTGCTACTATAGTCTCACCAGACACAGAAATGCAGGATGCAGCTTGGGAATGCAAAGCCAAAAACTAAAACCACAGAGTTGAAATGGACCTACTATAAAGTGTGTTAAAAAACCCCAATGTCATTCCTCCTGCTCCTCACCTTTTTTTTTTTTTTTTTTTTTGCCACTCAGTACTGATCTATTCTGTTTTCTTAGCTAAGGGTTTCTTGGCAGTCACAGGCATTTTTCTCTAAGGATTTTTAGACACCCAGAAGTGGTTGGAAAAGCACAAGTAAAGGACTTGCCCACCACATTCCCTGTCTCTCTGAGAGCTGAGCAAAAAGCTTTGCCCTGTTACTGCCCAGGGTGAGGTCTAGAACCCATAGAGCAGACATGGAAACTGCATTCCACTTCCTCATCAAACCCAGTGGGAAAGCAGCTTGAAGGTGCAGGGAAAAAAATCCCAAATGTAAAGCAGGTGAGCCCCAGGTTAAAGCAGCTGCTGCTTTAACAGCCACTTTCAACACTTGAGAAAGTGAAACCACTTAGTGGAACAACAAAGCTATGTGCAAGGAGGAGGGGATGGCTGAGAAAATGTGTCCCTGGAACAGACCCTTTAGGGACAGGCCAAGGCGAGATGATGATGAGGTTATCACCATGAAGATCACAGCCCCAAACTGCAAGGTCACAACCTGCAGGAACTTTGACAAAGCTTTTAAAGAGAAGCAAATCCAGCCTTTCCTGGAGTGCCCCAAAAGAGAAACCCATCCAAAGGGACACTTCCATGGCCCAGCAGTACAATATTCACATTCCAGCCACAATGGAGCCAAACAGATTCACTGCAGTGGGGGCAGCTCCTACTCCCACATAGCAAGATTAAAAACCTGGAGACTCACAGTTGTTTCAGAGCTCCACTGGCATTCTTTGAGGCCAGAGCATGCCCTATGCTGAGCAGCCACCCTGCTTTCCACTCCACTTAGCATTAATTACAAGCCTCTTTCTTGGATAGCTTGGCAGCTTTGTGGTTCAAGGAGGAAAGGGGGGAAAAAAATAAATCTCATCCTATTAAATGTAGCCCAGCGACCAAAAGACTCTGAAAGATAGGAAACCCTTCTCAGCGTGAACAAGCAGCAGAATTGCACTTTTAGATACAGGTTTTAATTGCAAGTGGCATTTCCAAGCTACCCTGCTCCTGGGGCCACCTCAATGAGGGCCAGGAGTGCTACCAGACAGTTAATACCCTCAAACAGACAGTTTCCCACTCCCAGCCACAAACAGGGCTTTAAACATAGCCCATTTGTATCACAAAAGGCAGCCAAAGCCCCTGTCCTTGCAGGAGGCTTAGCTCTAGTTAGGCACCCAACAAAGACTAAGTTGGTAAGAACCTCCATTTGGTCTCTCTGGCTGACTCAAACCCAGCATTTTGCTGGAAGCAGATTCTGTAATGCTCATATCAAGCCCTTGTAGCTCGATCACAGATCACAGGCCAATTTTAGCCAATATCCTTAGCACAAACTCACCAAATCCACTGGAGCTCCAGAAGGGAGGCAGGAGAACAGCACAGCTCTCCTGTCATAAACCCTTATGGGTTTAAGGCTGCAGGTCTTGGGGCAAGCCTGAAGGAGATCAAGGCCAGACTGTGACCTGCCTCAAGAAGAGCAGGCCTGCTTAATACCCCTCTGTATAACCAAAGGCTCTCGTCCTGGGTGTCCCTTCAGCTGTGGGGAGTTTGGGCCTTCTAACTCTGTGGAGCATCCCAGGTGCTCTCAAGGGGCAGAAAGGAGTTTGCCACCAGCTGAGTAGCTCAGAGCTTTCCAGGCAGGTTTTTCCATTTAACCCTGAATTTACAAACCCTGGAGCATTGGTCTGCCACATTCTCAGCGTCCTAACTGGCTTAGCCAACAACTCACACTGCCAGTGTCTTGCTGGTGTGGGATCCTTTAGGCTTGTAACCTAAGGGGAATACATGCCAGCAATCTACTGTGCAGATGAGGCAAGCAATTGCTATTCCTTACATCCAGTTGTAAATCAAAGGGTTTCCTGCCTAAGTCTAGATAAGAATATAACCCCCAGGCTATGGACCACCTGACAGCACCGAATCCTTTTGTTAGGAAAATAATTGCAGATGAGTCAGTACTTTCTCCTGCTCTCCTTTGCCAGGTAGCATCTCCTCTGGATGGCTGGACTGAGCTGAGGCTTCAGCAGAAACTTGAAGCTGAGACTCCTTAAACAAGAAATTTCTTCTGGGGTCTGACTTTACAGGCCATCCCTGCATTTCCAGCACAGGAGGGCAACAGAGACAGAGCCACGTCCATCACATTCTGGTGAGATCTGGCTCCTTCACTTGGGAAAGTGCTTAACTCCAGGTTTTGCTGAGCCTGACAGCCTTTAGCCTCCAGCCCTTGCCAAGGCCCATGGCAGTCCTGTTGTGCTTGAACAACTTGACTGCTTTGAACTCAAGCTGATGGCAAAAGAAGGATGTAGGGAATTTTAAAAAGCATTTTCCATTCTGACTCTGATGTATTACTGTACAACCTTTTCCAACTCCTCCATTGCTTTGTGGCTGGTGTCACTCACACTTTGCCTGCCTCACTGCTGCCCTTTCTGCCCAGCCAGTGGGCTCGCTCCGTGGGATGCTTCCCACCAGCACTGCAGGCACAAATCCCAGAACTCTGATGTCACGTCTCGTAACCCATCAAAAAGTTCCTTGTTTGAAACAGGGAGATGGGATGAGGTCATCAGGAGCTGTAACCATTCTCTTTCTTTGGCACACCACCTCCTTATCTGGGAGGCATTGCAGGGAGTGCATTGTAAAGGTTACATAAAATCAAAACAGAATTGTCAGGTGTTCCTCTCCCCAACATTTGTTTTGGCAAATTTACATCCCCTGAGAAACATGAGGGAGGCATCGTTTTCCCCAGCAGAACATCACGTAGGAGCAGGGCTGACACAAAGAGCATTCTGCCCAAGGGTGCTGGGGAGGCCTTAGAGGCAGGAGGGGAAAACCTTTGGCGTACACTGAGTGCATGTGCAAATACCCCCACATGTCCCTCTGCCCACAGAGAGCAGGAGGAGGAGGAAAGGATTATCCATCATACAGCTCCTGTCATGGGAGACATTTCCATTATTGTTTTACAAGATTATATAACTGCATTGTCCATAAGCACAGGAGAGCCAGAAAAACTCTTTGTGTTGGCATCTCATGGAAGCACTGCTGCAGACTCACAGGTGGCAAGGATAGTGGGCACATACCTTGTTCATTCAGATCTCCTCCATCTTCCTAAGTTATCTGCAAGGAACTGGAGAAAGGGGGAAAGAACACAATCTCCTAACAAACCTACCAGCGAGGCAGTTTTACAGCTTGGCTCCAAGCCTCTGCTCAGAATCTCTTCCTCCTGTTTTTCAGAGTTCAGTGAGGATGAGCAACAGAGGGCATGGGCATCCTTCCATCTGCTCCTGCTCTGGAGCAGAGATACATCCAGAATGTCGCAACTCTGCAATCTTTCTCTCCTTCTGGGATGGTTTCAATGGTAAGATTTACAGCCTAAAAGATATCACCGAAGTCATGGCAGTAAGAGGGGCAGCTACAACAGGAAGGAGGAGGAACAGGAGTATTTTACTGAGTCCAAGCCTTGCAGATGGTGAAAACAAGAAGCAAAAGCCATGCTCACTGTTAAAGCTAATGAAAATCTGCAATCCCCACGGGAAACTCAGAAACACAGGTATGAAATGCAGAACTGCTTCTTTTGTTCATTTGTTTTTTAATACTTTGGTTACATGTTCAAATGCAATACACGGACAGAGTGCAGGGACTGAATTTCCTGTGCTGCTGGATACAGCCCATTTTTGGTTCATAGCCCTGCATCCACATCTGCAGTTCCAGTAGCCACCTATAGTGATGTGCCTTCAGGCAGGGAGGTAAGGAAGGAGAGCACCTCTAGCACAGAGAGGCACAGGCATCCCAATTCAGATACTGTCCATCTGCCCTAAACCGTTTTTGATAACTTTTGATAACATTGCAAGAGCATCTCTTTGCATCTCCTTGGTAGGCATCCACAGCCCTCCATTAGCAAGATAAGATTAAACAACAGCCACTTCTATCTTTATGTGGTAAAACAAGCTTCTGTATTTAAGATAAACTTTACAGGACAGGTGGTATCCTAGAATGGAATATCCCCAAGAAAACATTTAACTATCCTACATAAACGTCAACAAGGTATGAGTAGAGCGCACCCAATAAAGGAGATAGAGGCTACAATAAAAAGGGGCCCTAAATCAAAGGGCAGGTTCACACCAGCAAACACTCCGACACACCGGGCCAACTGGAACAGGGCCCTCAGCACTGCTGGCAGCCCAGCAGCTCTTCTGGTGTGGCTTCCCCTGCCTTTGCTTGGAGGTTTGACCCACACCATCACCTTGATGGGGTTGTGGCCGGGACCGCATCCACAAAACTGCACCTGCGGGTTCTCTGTTGGGAGCTCGGTGTGGACTTCTACCTTTATCAGCTCTTAAAAAAAAAAAAAGGAAAAAAAAAAGGGGGGTGGACGGGGGGGACGCAGAGCAAACATTATCTATTGTTAATTACCTGTAAAGTAGGGCTTTTGCCACTTCCCCAGTTTCTAAGAGCTCTGAAGTGAAACCTGAAAGAAGCCACCCATTGTTTCCAATTGTGCAAGAGCCAGGAGCAAATAGGGCTCAAATTGCAGCTCTGAAAGGCAGCAGGAAATTGGCAGCCCGGTAATCTGCTCCCCACCATTCAGGGGAACAAAGGCGACATTCCTCCTCAAGTAGTCACCATTAGAAACCCAAGGCTGATCTATTTAGTAAGGCCCACAGAATAAATCTGTGGAAATAAAGAGTTTTAATTAGAAGGCCATAGGATATGGCTCTAGTTTCCAGCCCCTCAAGTAACATGTATTATTTAGGCCCTTACCTCGTTTCCCACATAACCAAACGCTGACACCCAGACATCAGCACCGCTGCCATTAAAAAAAAAAACACCCCAAGAACTAATAAAGGTGGAAACTTTCATTACAGGTGGATCATACCACACAGTGTGCTGGACCAAGCACATTTCAAATTGGTCCCTGGTTTGGGATTGCATATTTCCCCCCCAGAGTATTAACAATCCTTCTAAGCCACCGCATCCGTGGCATGTTTTAAATGTTCTCCAGAAAGTGCTACAGTTTCCAGCAGGATGGGTTTTTTCTCCTCTCTCCCATCCATCCATCTGCACAGAATGACTCAGTAATTAAACACTGCTGGTCAAAGGCTCCTGGCTGTGCCAGCGCCTCACAGCGTGGCTCCACACAGCCCTCCAGCCCCAGTTTTCCCAGGAGCCAAAGAACAGTTTCCTTCAGAGCTGTTTTATCGGGCACAGTTAATTTGAAAGAATTTAAGTCCAAGTGCAAAATGCTCTGAGATACTTTGCAATTTTTGCCACCTGAACAGATAAAGTTGTCCCAGCCCCAGTGAGTTAGAACTGTCAGGAGGGAGAGCAGATGAGGTTCAATTTTCTAGGGATGTTATCTGCACCAGGCAGCAGTGATGGATGACTCGGGAACTACCATGGCAAGTGCTCCTGCTCCAGTACAAGGCAAGGGATGGAAAGTGGGGATACAAGAGCACAGGCCCTAGAACTCCAGGTTTGAAAGCCCATACAAAAATCTCTGTGGAGACTCCAGAATGGCACCTTCTATCTCTACCACTTGCTCCAGAGAGACCTTTGGCTATTTAACACAGAGAACTGGTGCATTTTCAACTCTAACAATATTTCCTCACACACTCTTGGCAGATCAGTAAATTCGAGCCCAGGTACAGCCAAAGTTCGCCAAAGTTCATACCTGGAGCTGAATTTCAGAACAAAACTTCATGACATCCAACTATCCTGTATTTCCCACTCTGACTAACCAGGTTTATCCTCACGTTGAATTGGATGAGATACAGGACATGTAAAAGTGTATGAAATCAAAAAGTTTCTCAGTGACAGCACAGGTGCTCCTGTAGTCATAGCACATTCCATCCAGAAGAACTTTGCATGCCATGTAGAAAAATGAACAAGTGGGCAATTATTCCCTAAAAAGAATGGGTCAGGTAAATGAGACTGGATTTAGATAAGACTTGGGTATAAAAAGAAGGTACTGTGCAATCTCCAAATATCCGGGTTAGAGGAAAGCTCCAGCACTTCCCCCTTCCTTTCAGGCAATAGTTTATTCATTTTCATCTGGAAGTGTGCTACTCATAAAGTGTACAGGTCCAAAAACAACTGATCAGACATCACAGAAGAAATGAAGCTTTGGAGATAACATTCATCAGGCCAGGTAAATTATCCCTTCCTCCTGACTGGAGTGTGGAAGAGCAATCTTCCTGCAAGAACTCTCAGGTGGTTTGGAAATTGAAGCTTGTGCCAGAAAACAGGTGGTTTCACTTAAAAGTCATTAAGAAGTTAATCAGTTATGTAATTTCAGCCTATTTAGGGAGCTCCAGCTACTTCTCACAGTCACTGTATCCCACAAACTAAGAACATCCTAACATTTATGAGCACTGGACATTCCTAAGGCAGTGCAGGCACTGTCTCCCGGCCAGCTCATTCACTGGTGTAAATCCATCAGCTCCATTGAGCAGAAATATTCCCTGGAATAAACCCGCTCATACTCTGGCAGCGACCCTGCGGGGTCAGGCAGGATGTCCCATTGTGCTCCTTCTTGCACAAACACAATGGGGTTCAGCCCCTGGGGGCAGAGCCTCTGTCAGGCTGTTTGTGCCTCCTGACATCGCGTTCTGCAGGATGTTTGTTTTCAGGTCGGGGCACCCAACCAACGTGGAGACAAAGGTTCACAAAACACAGCGTGCTTACAAGGCCAGAGCCATGGCCATCAGGCACACCTTTCTCCAAGGACTGACCAAATGGATGCTTCTCTGCTCCAAATTAAAGAGTTACCACACTTACAAGCTAATTTTGGAATATGTACTTGTTCTAGAAGCACACTGTTTCTCTTATAATACTGCCCCATGCATCTCCTAGGAATATTGAAAAATCCAGGTGAATTTCTGGCTCTTTTTTGGTTATTCAGTAAGACTAGTGTCTCACCCATACACACTTAAACTAAAAAGCCAAGCCATGTGTGATTTGCAGGAAGACTTTCCCAAATTTGTATTTATTGGTAAGTAAATGAGGCAGTATCTCAGGACAGCTTCACCAGGAGGAGCAGGACTGGCAGCTCCTGGGAAAACCAACTGCGCTGCACCCCTTTATCACAAATATAAACCAAGCTGTAAATATCACTCTGGAGGTCACAAGGTTTTTGAGCAGATCCTTCCAGTGATCTTTTCGAGCAGCTCCTTACCACAGGCTCCTCGTGGCTGGGGAAGTCATGCCAAGGGAAGAAGCCATGCCTTGGTTCCTCCCACCAACCACAGGAAGGTGAAAGACAACCACAGGCAAGAACTACAAATGATAAGAGCTGCCCCAAAAGCAAACTGCCCTGCAAATGAAGGGTCATCAGAACAAGACCTGTGCAGCCCCATGTGCTGTGTAAGGCTGCTAAATCCAGCTTTATGACAGCAGAACAGAATTTTATTCCAGGGTGGTTTTTTTTAAGCACCACCATGACTGACACAAATGCTCCAGCTGGAAGAAGGCCAACAATTAATCAGGATTCCTTAGAATTTGGAGGCAATTTTAGCAGAACAAGAAATGCAGAAGTATCAGTGAGTCCTGAACATTCCTCCAGGACAAAAATCTATTACTTCATATAAGTCCATTAAAACACTTCATCTAGCCCCTTTAATCCCTCTTAACAGATTTGCTTTATCACAGACAGAGGAGCTAATCCTCTCCCACCTGTCTTTATGATATGGAGCCATAAATAAGAGCAAGTACTTTTCATTTGCTAGGCATTATCCCCCCTTGGATAGTGCCCTCACCCACCCATTGGTGGGTACCCATTGGTGTACTGGAGCCATCTTTATAGAAACGCCTCAACTCTGAGGGCAAATTCCCACCCCAGCCATGGATTCCTCCAGCATGGAACATGGAAACTTTATCTACCCACTGTTTTTATTGCTAAATTACTGTTTCCTAAACTCATCTCTCTTATCATGAGTTTTGAGACACTAAGCAAAGCAAGAATTCCAGCTTGCTGGACTTTCATTTTTCCTTCAGCCCAGACCTTACATGTCCGAGGAGGCCTTTGCTGTTGGAAGCAGATGGCAGCCTCAGCCAAATCCATCACCCATGCAATTAGGTCAGTAGGTCAGCTGAACTTACTGCCTAATTACACCATCATTTTACACAGAGTTCTCTTGGCTTCTCAAAACAGGATCTCAGAAATATCAGGAAAGAAAGGTAATTGTTATGAGCTACATTGCAATAGGCCCTGACAGTCTGGTGCTCTGCAAACATGGAGGAGTCACCTCAAACAGGCTGCTGATAAATGTGGAGTTGAAGGACTGAAATGTGCACTTCAGTGCCCTAATTGCTGAAAACCCCCTCAGCAACCCCCCTTCCAACAGGACACAGCATCCTTGGATGGCCATTCCACTGTGGAAAGTGGAACAGACACAGTGGCTGACCACTTAGGGCATATTTAAAGTCACCTGTGCTGCTTCAGGCTGTGGAGGCTTCACAGCTTCACTTCCTCCAGCCACCAGTTTGCTCCCTTCTCTTTCAGCTGGAAAGACATTCATGTGCTCTCACCCAACCCTGCATGGTTCTACACCACAAAACTGCCTGAAAGAATCCCCAGTCACCTCCATGGCACAGTGGCAATGACCTTACATTCCAGAGTAGCCAGGAGCGAGCTCAGACATATTTGTGTCACAGCTGAGACAGCCACACACACGGAGTAGCACCACACAATTTCAGAAGGCTCTAAGCATTCACCCATACACAGTAACACCTTACCTCATCAGAAGGCCTCTGGTGTCTGCCCATACACAGTAAGACCCTGTCGCTTCAGAAGGCTGCAGGCATCTGCCCTTCCTGTCCCTCAGCCCAGCCTTTTATCCCCTCCTGCTGATGCCCTGCACCTGTGTGCCCTCTGCTCCCTTTGCTGGTTGGGCAGTGCCCCTGGGCTCTCGTTACCTTCAATAGCATTCACCTGCTGCCCACAGCTGTGGCCCATTGGGGATGAGGCTCAGCTGCAGCCCCACTCCCAATCACCACAAACTGTGTGCCCACATATTTATATGTTAAATACAAAGCATACAGCATCTAACCCAAGAGAAAAACACATTATTCTCATTTTTCTAACACTGTCTGCTCTACCTAGCAATGAGTAAACCATGTAAGACCTGCAAGGAACTGTTTTCTTCTCTTTGCTGTGTAGGTCCCAGTAAATTTTTTCTCCAGAGGCACTGCAACCTCAAGCTATGCCCAAAATCTGGTTAGTAAAGGCAGCATTAGCATGACTAACTAGAGCATAGCTGTTGTCTTAAAAAAGAGATCTGAAACAGTGTCACAACCTAGCTCCTGATGGAAGACAAACATTAAAGGATGGAGAACATGTGCACCCTTTGGGATTTCTTCTCTTCTGCTAGGAACCAACCCAAGCCCCCAGACAAATCAGTCACCTGGCTGAAAAAAGAGACAGAGGCACAGAGGGCAATGTTTTCCTTGAGAAGGCAGGAGCAGCACCCTTGGAGCACACAGGGGTGCTGGGGAGCTGGCTGTGGTGCAGCAGAGGAGGCAGCTGGCTCCGTGTTCCCGGGTGTCAGCACACAGTTACCAGTGGGCGTCTGTGGCCAGCGCTGCACAGGGCCCCCATTGTGTCCGTGGGCCGTCTGCAGCTGTCGCTCCTCGAGACGCGCGGGGACAGCGAAGGAGAGCGAGTCCCTGCTCCTCAGGAGCATTCCTGCCTTTGCTTCCTCCCGGGAAATCTTGGAAAGCAGAATCCACGTGCATCCAGTGCTGCCCCCCAGGCTGTCACTTCTGTCCCACAGAGGAGCAGCACCACCGGCCCCTTGCAAAGCATTGCTGGGTGCACTCAGGTGATGATGTCTCTTTGTACCTCTCAGGGGTCATCTGTGCTGCTTAATAAAAAATCAGCTTCTCAGTCAGCTCTGTTCCATGACACTGCATCAGCTGGGATGGAATTAACTACAAAAAGCCGAGCTTGTTCAAATCATCACCGTGCTGGGAGTCAGAGCAGCTTGAATATGGTAATTCAAAGCAGCAGGACTTCAAAAAAGAGCAAGATATGACACATTTGTCAAGTCACTGCTCTGTTCTGAAGTGGAGTTTCTCTAGAACCACTTACTCTGAAGGCCATGTGAAATTGCATCCATTTAGAACTTTTAAAGTTCAGGAGAATAGTGATGTAGCCTTGACCCACATGAGGAAAAGAATGAGGTCTCCCCATTCACTCTTAATGAAAAGCTTTTTCTGTTGAATGTGTGTTAAATGGCCACAAGTAGCTGTGACACTTAGGTCAACCTTAAGAGCCTTTAATTTAAAGACAGAAGACTCAGTTGACATTGGAAAACGTATGGGAAAAGAACCAAATAAGTCATAGACATAGGCCCAAACACACACACATTCCCAGATTTCAAAGCTACCAAACTACAGCAACACAATCACTATTTTTCATCCTGGCTCCAAGATTTTTATTTAGAATTGAGGTGGGGAGATTAATTTCTTCCACTGCTGCACAATTTAACCAGCCAGGAAGTTCTATATAGGAAAATTTAAAATGGCTTTGCATGTTAATGTGGTATTCCTTAAAAAAAAAAAAAAAACCAAAAAAACAAAACAAACCAAACACCAAAAAAGAAACCAATTTGGAAGTTGTGGTTTCCTCCTCCACAAATGTATTTCCAAATGCTTTGGTAAATAAATAGAGCCTCTATTTCTTGGCACTGTTAAGCACAACACAGATTCAATTGTATTAAACATCCCTTATTTGATACATAGTTGGCTTAAAGTTAAAATTAGGTACACTAAACTAGAGCACAGACTAGTGGCTTTGAAGTATCAATAGGAGGTTGTTTGTCACCTGACAGACCTGAAGGAGGAGGAAGAGCCCAGCAATACACACAGGTAGCTCACAACCTATCATTGTAACAAAAGAACTCCAGAGGCATTTTCATTAATTAATATATTTTCTGCATTATAGTTAACATATGTACTTTCTTCGTGTCATCCTTATTTCGTTAAGTATTGATATTTTGTTATATTCAGACATGAGTACATTTTCGAAGTCTTTTGCAATAAATATCATAAAATAATAGAGATTCACATAATAAATATTCTTTACAATAAAAAAAGTTTTAACAGACTTTTGTCTTAAAAATAGTTGGGATTCAACTTTGTGTTTTATACATAAAATATACAAAAAAGGACCACAATTTGTGGCTAAGGCAATAAAACAGGGACAGAATAAAATTATAAAGTACAGAGCAGAGCTAAACTCACTAAGCCAAAGGATCACAAGAGACTTGAAGGATTCAAGAACATTTAGGTGACTCAATGACACCTGAAGGCTGTTTGGATATATGAACACCACCAACTTTAATATCAACTGATACTGACAGACTATAAAAACTGGATTAGGAGGGTGGAGTAAGCAATATCCTTCAAAGACTGGACAGCAGAAGAAACAAATGAGTATGTTGCAGCCACAATGTCTCCAATGTGAAGATCTACATAGTGTAGCAAAAACTGAAGTTACACTGAAAAAATAAAAAAAAAAAAGAAAAAAAAAGAAAAAAAAGGCTGGACAATTCTCAGGTCTGAGAATGTTCCAAAAGTTAAGAGAAAAAGAGAGGGAAAAAAAAAAAAGATGCAAAAAGAAGCAGGCTGCTTATAGAAGAGTCAGGCCTTTCATTTGGTGAAGCCTTTATTTTACATCCCTCTCCAGAAAGAACACACACAAAAAGTTATTTCACAATCCAGCTCACTCAGGACTGAAAGTTATTCTTCCTTGGCACCCAGGAGGTTAAGGAGAAAAAAACCATAACTTGCTGAGAACAAAAAAAAAAAACCATCTTTGGGAAGATATTCACAGAGCAAGAAGCTTCAAGAGCCCAGTGAGCCCTCACTGTCTCTTTCAGGAGTGGTTCAGTTACAAACTCAAAGACCCTGCCCGAAGGAGCAGCAGGTGCAGATCCCAGGTCCACACTTACCAAAGAGCAGCAGTGACTGCGTGAAACGCTCCACACTCAGCCAAGTCAGCAGGAGGAGGAGAGCAAAGATGCAAGGGGAAGAGCTCATATGTCTGGAGTTGGGCAGACAGAAAGGAAAAGAAAGCAACAGTCCTCCCAAAATGGGAGAGGAGGGGGGAAGAAGAAAAGATGGGGAGAGGGAAAAAAAATGAGCTACAACCTGAAAAACTGAAGTTGGGGGAAGTAAACCTCCCTCCCAAAATCATGAGGGCTTGCCCTGACCCCGGGAGGGGCAGCTCTCCAGTTTACAATAGACCGTGTTGGAGTTCTTGCACCGGCAGCCCGGACGATTGACGCGGTCGTAGCAGCCCCGGCAGAGTTTTAGGCATCCTTTGGCCGGAGGGTAGCAGAGCAAGCAAGGCAGGAACAAGGACATGGCTCCCATGCACAGGTACCTAGAACAGCAGTGTGCCTGGGAGCAGGAGCAGGGATTATCCGCGTACGAGTCCCCTTCATCGTCGTTGGAACAGTGGTAGAAGATGCCTTTGACCAGGCACATGCAGGTGCCGTACTCCACCATGCTCTCGGCCGAGCACAGGCACTGCCGGTTGCAGGCCAGGCAGGAGGGCAGGGCCCGCGGCGCCGTGCACTCCCCGCACTTGCACTTCCCGCACCGCTCGCAGATGAACTTGTGCTGCGTCAGGTCCTCTTTCAGAGGCCCCTTCAGATCGTCCACGATCAGAGCCGCCTGCTTGGGCTGCGCCCGGATCGTCCGCTCGGGTCTGTGGCCGGAGCCCGGCCGGGAGGGCGGCGAGCGCCCCAGCAGCCCTTGCTCCGAGGAGGCGCTGCTGTTGCTGCCGGAGCTGGCCGCGCTGCCCGTGCTGGTGGAGCGGCTCAGCACGGGAGCCCTGGCGTTCTGCGGGTGGGCCGCGTGCCCCGCCTGGCCGGGCCTGTGCTCGTAGTTGTTATTCACATTTATCGGTATAATCTCGTGAGTCCTCTCGTGCTTCTCCTGCCTCGGCGCCGTCCGCGGAGCCGGCTTCTTCACCACCGATGGCCCCTCGGTGTATTCGTTGCTGCCCCTGATGGCCTTGATCTGGTCCAGTGACAAGATGGTGGCGGGCTGGCCGTCCCTGTCATAGTCCAAGCGCTGCCGGCTGTCCAGGGAGGGCTGCTGAATCACCACCAGGGAGCCGCCGCTGCCGTGCTGACTTTGGGGCTCCATCTGTAGTGATCTCTGCTGCTGGCATTCAGCGGGAACCTGGCATGCATCTGAAATCCTGAAATAAGGAAGGAGACAGAAGGTGTAAATAAACACTGCGTGTGTACATATACACACTCGAGATCAAGGGCAGCGGAGGGATAAAGCACCGGATACTTTCTGAAAACAGAAATGATCTGGCAAAGCCCAAACTGCCCCAGCCACCTGGTACTGATCACTTTCAGCAGGGGATTACAGCAGTGCTGAGGATCTGGCCAAAGTCCAGCAATGGGGAGAGTCTGGGTATGGCATCATGGATCAGGAATGCAAAGGAGACCCCATGCCATTTAAAAAAAAATTTAAAAAATAAAAATCCAGTATTAACTTGTATGCTTTCTTGGCAAGCCATGGGAAGTGCCTCTCCCTTGCTACTGAACTCAGCATCTGTCTCTAGCAACAGCAATTCCGAATGCCCCTGACACTGAGCTGGAAACAGCCAAGAACACCACTTCGGTCATGTTCCTGTTCCGAATGGCAGAGTGAGGAATGAGCCCAGTTCTCACTCTTCTCCCTGAATGTGCAGCATCAGAAGGCTCCACAGATTTGCTTCCTAGTGCATTTGGAAAGTCTCCCTCTTCAAGTGACGTATGTGCATTACAGAGTCCTGAACTAAGTGCTGTCAAGTGGCCAAGACATTTTCTGTGAGAAAGTAACTCAGCCTACACATCTAATATGCTCCTTTATAAAATTAAAGCAAGGGTGCAAACAGCCTGTTTTCAAATATTTCCTGACCACAGGCCGGAGTGTGAAAGAAGAATGGGCTAGAAAAGGCTTAGATGAACTAGGTGTCAAACAAAAAGTACCTGAGCGTTCATGAGAACGTTAAGAGCAGATAAGAACCCCTCAACAAGAACCCCAAAACACAAAGAACAAACCCATTTTCAAAAGAGAGATTAAAAGCTTCTCAAATAAACAGAACATCTGCTCGTCTATCTTTTAAATAGTAGGAAAATAGTTGAGATGTTACATGTTTCCATCCCTTTCCATCCTGCCTAGTGAGAGACTCGAAGGTTGCAACACTGAGAAAACTGCAGTGACAGTTCTGCACCTACACAAAAATGTAGGTGAGTATTTAAGTGCCACATTTATGCAGGGAACCAAGACAACAAACTGCTTTTCTTTACTGTCAGCCAGAGGAAAAGTCCCTTTTCACAACCCCTCGGGATGTGTTTACCTGAAAGCAGAGAAAGGTGAGTGCTATCACGCATTTCAAAACCTCATCCAATAATGCCACGAGGGTGTCCTGTGTACCCAGACCACAGCCAGCATGGAGCTGTTCCCCACTCCAGACAGTAAAAGGCACCGTGGTGTGGAAGCACAGGAAGAACAAGAGGAGGAAATGTTTCTTCTAGCAGGCAGTCACCATGGGCAGAAAGTGACAGCGTCTGCCTTGACACAACATCTTTGTCCTCAGCCAGTAGTCAAAGATTTCATTTTACATCTAACATCACCTGTGTGGGCTTTGTGGTCACCAGATTAAACAGAAAACCAAACACTCTCGCTTCTAATTCACAGAACAGAATCACAGGATGGCTTAGTTGGAAGGGACCTAAAAGACTCTGCAGTCCCAAAGCCCCTGCCATGGGCAGGGACACCTTCCACTAGACCAGGTGGCTCAGAGCTCCATTCGACCTGGCCTTGGACACTTCCAGGGACGGGCGCATTCACAGTTTTTTCCTGGGCCAGTGCCTCGCCACTCTCCAGCAAAGAATTTCCTCCTACCCCACACAAGAAGCAGCCTTCCTCACGAGCACTGAATACAAATCCACAACAGACCAAGGGTGAATGAATGCGAAAAGGGAAAGATTTACAGCTGTAGCAGCCAGGAGCTGGGCTCCCTAGGGGATGAAAAACAATATCCCAAGAAAATGCAAAAGACATCCAGTGCCATCTTTGGGGGGAAAGCGCAACATCAACGCGGCGCAGACTGACAAGCCCAGCTGCAGACCGGGGCGAGAGTTGAACCAGCCACCTCCACCCCCGCGCAGATCGCTCGTAAACTGCTTCCCCCCCGGACAATGAAATAAAAACGAGTACAGCAAAATAATAAAATAACGTACGGCGCAGGCGGCGAGAGCCCTCACGGTTCTGCACCCGGGGCTGCACTCCCTCCCCGCACCTCGGGGGTGGGATCCCGCTTCCCTCCCCTTCTCCACACCCGCTCGGACACGCCGCCAGCCCCCCCGGCCCGCCCTGCTCCGCCCCGCTCTCCGCAGCCCCGGGCGGGCGGCGGCGGCGCGGCGCCCTCTGCGCCCCGAGCGGAGCGGAGCGGATCACGGCGCTGACGGAGAGGAAGGAAGAGGAGGGGAAAAGGGGAAGAAAAAAAAGTTATGAATGAAAACACAGGCTTTTTTTTCCCCTTCCTTTCCCTCCTTCTCTCTCTCTTCCTCAGGGGAAGGCAGATCTTAGCCCGTCCCTGCCTCGGGAGGGCAGATTACCTGGCGCTTAAAGCGGCAGCCGAGCGGCCGCTCAGCCCCGGGGTTTCCCCGCGCTGCGCCTCGGCACCCCCGCCTGAGCCCCTCCAGCCCCCACCTGCGAGAAGCGCTTGGGGGTGTTTTTGACGTTCTGCGCGTTCGCAGCCGGCCACGGTCCCTAGCAAGCCTTCCCGCAGCAGCACGGTGCCTCCGTTCCGGGAGGGGGACGGTGGGAGGGTGGTCGGGGCCGCCCCTCACCGGGCGGGCGCCGCAGCGCCCCGCGGCACCTGCTGGCTGCGGCAGCGCCGGCCCCGCTGTGAGCGCACGGCGGGTCCCAACTTACTGATGTGCAGGGAGCCGTCGGGAACGGCAAATCCAGCGGGCGGGGGGCGGCGGGGCCTCGGCTCCTCGCTCTCCCGGCCCCCGGGGCGGGGAAGGCCGGCGGGCTGCGCTCCTCGTCCCCGCACAGCCCTCGCTCGCCGATCTCCAGGTCCTACTGGGCCAGCGGAGAAAAGCCCCGCTCTCCTGCCCACCGCAGCTCCCCTCTCCCGGGGCTCAGCATGCAGCGGCCCCGGCCGCCCGTGGAAGCGGCGCTCTCCTTCGGCCGCAGCTCTCTCGGTCCGGAGGCGAGGGGGAGCAAATCCAGCCCTTCCTGCAAAGCGGAGTGTGTGGAACGAGCCTCAGGCGGCTGCAGGCTGCGGCAGGCAGCGGAGCTTGTTGCGATGCAGGTCTCCGGGAAGAGGCGGCGGGTGCGCGGCTCCCGCTCCGGCTGTTTGTTATTTCCCTTTGCGATCGCAGAGTGCAGCGCTGCGGTCCCGCTCCGGCGCTCGGCTTCACCGCATGGTCCTTGCCGCAAGTCCCGTCTGGCAAAGTGCAACCACAACCTCTGGTGCGAAAGACTGGGTTGGGTTTTTTCTTTTTCGTTTTGATTTTTAATTTTCTTTTTAAAGCGATCAAGAAGCGGCTCTGGCTTTCCAGGCAGAGCTCAGCGAACTGCGAACGAAGCCAGAGGCAGCGCAATGCACTGGCCCTGCGAGCTCCCCGCACACAGCCATGTGCTGGCTGTCGCTGCCGGGGGCCGAGTGACAGGCTCGGGGCAGGGGCAGGACGCGGCGGGGAGAGGCGACCCCGCACGCCGCAGTCTGGCACCGAGGTCTCCGCAGGCTCGAGAGGGTCGCGCAAAGCTCCGACGCGCCGGAGACCCCGCGCCGGGCGAGACGGGCGAGTACCGAGCCGGAGCTTCTCTGCGAGCAGCGAATCGCGCCCAGCTCAGCGCTGCCGGCCCGGGGAGCCGAGGCCCGGCTCTCCCGCCCGGTGCCCCGCGGAGCAGCGAGCGCGGCTCGCCCGCACCTCCCGCACGCCTCGCAGCGCGGCCGCCCCCAGCGCGGCGCGGGGAGCCCCGGCCGCCCGCCCGCACCTGACCCGGCGGGAGGTGGGTGCGCGGCGCGGCGAGCGCCGCCCGGGCTTACCTAGGGCCGGGGTGAGCGCCCGCCTCCCGCGGCACATTGGCGGCGCGGATCCAGCCCGGGCAGTGCCGGCAGCCGCTCCGCGCTGCCCCGCCGCCGTTCCGGAGTGACTCGGGCCGCGCCTCGCCGCCTTTCAGCGCGCAGCCCCCGCCCGCCGCCGGCCGCGCCCCCCTGATGTCAGTGTGCCTCCGAAATCCCGGCGTGGATTCCCCGCCCTCCCGCCGGGAGCCGCTCCCGCGCGGGCACCGCCGCTCCCGCGGGCCGCCGGGGAAGGAAGGAGGGCGGGAGGGAATGAAGGAGGGAAGGAGGGAGGACCTGCCCCTCTGCGGCCCCGGGCCCGCGCTGTCCCGCAGCCGCGGCTCCTCCCGGCCCCGAGGCCCCGCCGGCAGAGGGAGCGCCCCGGGGGCTCGGCCGGGCGCAGCTCGGAGCTGCCCGGTCCGCACACGCTGCCCCCGCCTGCGCTCATGGAGCTGCCGCGGCCCCGCCGGGCACTGGGCTCTGCTCAAGGGCTGAAGTTCTGCCACGCTCCTCTGTCTGACAGCGTTACAGAGAGATTCCTGACTGTGTTTTACTGTCAGCGCCCTTCAAGCCAGGTGGAACAGCCCTTGGTTTATATTCACAAGATATTTTCTGCTTCTTTCTGACTATTGCAGAGGCAGCTGAGGACCCGAGAAGAGCATTCCCTCTTGTCATCCTGCCATGAGATAGGAAGCGGCTCTTGCCATCGTTCCCAAAGCTCACCACTGCATCTCTGCCATGGTGCCAAAGAGATACAGGGATGCTTTCCAAGCCAGTAGTTTTATGGCTAGATATTACCTTTGGCATGTGAGTTTTGGGGGTTTGGTTTGGTTTTTCTCATTGAGTGGAGTATTTAAACAGGCCACCAAAAGAACATGGGAAAATAATGTAAAGCACATTCAAATTCTGAGAATTATTTCATAACAACATGTAAAGTATTGGAATAGTTGAGGCTTCCAGTACTTGGCTGAACACCTTAAGTTTATCTGAAACACACTAGCAATCTCTTTCAGGAAAAAACCATTCTCCCACCTTTTGCCCCAAAGAAAAGAAGTATGTGCTAAGGATATGTGGAGCTGCTTAGCAGGAACATACATCCAAAGGCAAACAATCCCTACAAACAGGATTGTACCACAAAGGGGGCACTCGGTGACAGTCTGTGCACCCAGCTCACGCTCGTGGGATGTAGCAGAGTTGTTTTCCATTAACCTTTACTAAGTTTGGAAAAAAATCACCTTAACTGCATTTTTAAAATTTCCATCATTATGCACAACCTTTATCTGAATCACCTATCTCTCTATGAAATAAAATTTCCATGCATTAGAGGTTCTATACTGAATACTAGAATATAGTACTAGTGACAGTATGACTCCTAATACTTCTGAGTTTGTAATTAACAGATTGCTGATACAGACAAACCATAAATACCATTCTCCAATGAGAGAGGCTCAAAGGACAAACAATGGCATAAAAATCCTTGGTGTGGAATGAAAGTACACCAAATCAGTATTAATATTGCTGTGGGATTTAGAAAGCGTGGTTGTTCACCAAAAGCATTCTCAGGCACACCTTGAGCACAAAGTACAAAATCATTTTCAGTGAAATCCATCTGAAAACTTTGGAACCTATAAGAGTTACAAAAACCTATGAAGAGAAAAAAAAATCCAACTGAAGAACCAAAATGACTAAGAAAATTTAAAAAAAACAGTACTCCTGCAGAGTACTCTTAGTGGTGTGAGTTCATCTTGGAGCCTTTGGAAGTAGCAGGGCTCTGTTCTCACAACAGTTCATATACGTTTTTCCTAGGATACAACCCTAAAAACAACTCAACACCTCTCCTTTCACATCTCTAAGCCAGGACCACCTTAAAAACATCTATGCCAAGTGTGAGAGCTTGATTTTAGAAACATAATACCAGGCTTAAATGGGTCAGTCAAATAACTAAGAGTACTGGCAGGTGTTCACTATCACCTGGCACCTGAGTTAATACTTCATGGAAAGAAGGAAAAACCCTCCAGCGATATCCAAAGGCTCTCCACAGGCTCAAGCAAACATTCCTGCACCTTAAAGAAGTCCATCTCACTAGATTAATCCTGGAAATTATAGCAATGAGAAGTTCTGATTAGAAAAAGGAGAGCTACATTCTGGAGAATGAACTGGCACCTATGGCTACATCCTGGCATGGCCTTAATTTGAGGATTGATGCTCAGGCAGGAATCTGA